GTCATAAACAACGATTTATGCATTATAGAGTTGTACAATACAACAATTTAAAGCATCAATTGTTGTGTATGGAGAAAAATTGTTGTGTACAAATCAGCTCCCATTTTGATATATACTACAAATACAGTATCCTTAAAATTCAGAGTTTAATATTTTGATATATACTTTAAATGTTATCATGACTCATCATACACATTTATGTTTCTGTATATAAATGTAAAGAAGATATTAATTTTTACATTTACTTTTTGACAAATCATATATACACATTTTCCTCATGTAATATAACTAAATAACATATATATCTTTTATTCACAGTTTAATATAGTATATATTTAGTCAGACTAATAGTTTCATCTTAATATATATTGAAATGTTATATAAAAAATGACCATTAAACATATATTAAAGCATATATTTACATTTTATTTTGATAATCAACAATTTCATTTGAAATAAATCGAATAATATATCATATATCTACTCAATAACCTAGATTAACTTGATGTATGTTCAAAATGTTTTAGTAACAATGTGTTTTATATTTATATCAACACTATAACAAGCAATCCATGTTTATTTAAACATTATAATAACATTCGAAAAAAAATACCTTCTGTTATCGTGTTTGTTTTGATGTTTAACTTCAATATAGGGTTTGCTTTTGAAGAAATACTTTCTGATGCACTTTGTTTTTCCATTTTGACATTTTTGATGGTTAGATGTTGTGAATCTGTTGTCGATATCTTCGATTTCAACCTTGACATTTTATTTGCTTCTACTTGATCTTTTTCCATGTTTTTCTTCTGTTTTGCTTCTTTGGAGATCGTTTTTTCTGAAGAGTCTGTAGTTGATGTAGTTCCTTTTGATTTTGAAGCCATTTTGTGTTTGATTTTTTGAAGAATTTTTCGTTGTTTGTTTGATCAGTGGTTTGAAATTGAGGTTTCTGAATGTGGGTTTTTTAGAAAGGGGGGTAAAGAATGGTTATAAGAATTGAATCCTACGAGAATGTTTTTGGCTTTTATTATTATAATTACAAAATTGCCATCGCCTTATTGTATTTTGGTAGTATTACATAATTGGACCCTATTCGTTTGCAAAAGCAACAAGTATATCATGTACATATTTTTATAATGAAAATATATGTTATGATTTATTTCTTTTTAAACATTTTTTTTACAATTTTTTCATTTTTTTTTAATTTTTTGTATTATTTAAAATTAGACCATCTGATATTTTTAAATTATTTATAACTTTTGTAGTATTTAAAAAAATTATTAGTGGTATCCAATATATTTATATATTACGATTTTATATAGTAGTCTTTTTGTTAAGTGTCTCATTTTAATTATTATTGTTTCTTTAACTTTAATCATCGTATTATTTTGCAAGTTTTTAATTTTTCCTATTTATTTCATATTAAGTTGCTTCAAATATTTTATACTTCGTTTATATATCTTCTTGTTCATAGTTTAATATTTAAAAATAAAATAAAATTTCTATTTCCTCGACAAGATTAAAGTTAAAATAATAGTATGTACCATGTTCATTGAATTTATTTTTTAAATATTTAACACATGTTTTAATAAAGAGATATATATATACACTAAAGTTTCAATATTTTCATCGATTTGACAAGAAAGTTTTAGAATTTATTTTTTTGACAGTAAAGTCCTAACTACTGGCAGTTTTTGACACTTTTACCATTTTTTTCTGATTAGCCGGTAACTAGGACTTTTTTGTCAAAAAAAATAAAGTTTAGGACTTTGTTGTCAAATCGTGAATTAAGACTTTATTGTCAAAAAAATAAAGTTTAAGATTTTTTTGTTAAATCGTTGAAAATGTTGGGACTTTAGTGTATTTTTGTAACCTAAGAACTTTTAATTGTGATTTTTGTTGCAACACCACTATTTTTCTTACCATCATCATCTTTAACTTAATACAATCATGATCAGGAGAAACAGATGCAAAAGAGAGAGCGAGAAAGGGTGAAAAGACTTGTAAAACTTTCTTCTTGCTTCGCCGTCAAATCTTGAACTAAAAAGTGGGGACAAATTATACAAACACAAACAACACATGCCTAGTCAACAGGGAGTGAATGTGGAGAAGGGGTACGAAGGACAATTTTGTTTTTTTTTCGTTTTCTTAGTCTCCATTTTTTGGGACTGCAAAAAGCCAACACAACCCGGATTCTTTCTTTCTTTCTTGATTATCTCCATTTAATATCGATTTGTTGAGATTAAAAAAACTATTTAACAAGAAGCAAACGTTAAGGATTTCAATAGGATCTAGCTAACTAGAGAAGGTTTTAATAATTGTTATGCCTAAAGAGTATCATACCATTAAATTTCTAACAAAAAAAGGGATATATACACTAAAGTCCTAATATTTTCAACGATTTGACAAGAAAGTCCTAAGCTTTATTTTTTTGACAGTAAAGTCCTAATTCACGATTTGACAAGAAAGTCCTAAACTTTATATTTCTGACAAAATAGTCCTAATTACCGGCTAACCGGAAAAAAAAGGGTAAAAGTGTCAAAAACTGCCGGTAATTAGGACTTTACTGTAAAAAAAAATTAGGACTTTCTTGTCAAATTGATGAAAATATTGGAACTTTAGTGTATATATCCCTTTAATAAATAGTCATAGTTTAGTACTTTAATATTTGTTTCTACTTTTTTAAGTATTATTACAAGAGATTGATTGTAAATTGTATAATTCACAGTTTGATATTTATTTAAAATCTTGATATTTCATTTTAAATTTGTAACAATCATAATTATATATAAAGTCAAATTTCATAGTTATTCTAACAATAATTTAATCGGTACCCATTATATTAAAAGTAACAATTTTGTTTAACAATATAAGAGCTCCATTAATCATGCTTTGCTTGTTTGTTCATTTTCTTGAAATTTCTAAACATCATCCAAAACCTTAAAACACTAAATTCATCACCACACCACACAACATAACTAGTATTCTTGTCCAACAAAATGATACCACACAATAAAAGCAAGAAAATTATTCACAAAATAAAACCTAAGTTAATCAGTCTTAGTCTGTTTGTTCATATTCATGCAATTTCTAAACATCTTCCATAAGCTTAAATCTTTCTTTCTGTTTCTCCATTCCATACTTCACCAATATTTTTTTCTCTGCTTCTGGTAATTTCTAAAATTCCAATCCTTCATCCACAATTTTTTTGCTCATTATGTTGATGTCATTTACAAATAGTTTTGTGACATACTTAACTCTGAGCTTAGCGAATGTTTCTTTTTGTTGCTTTTGATCAATCTTAATGTCACAATACCATATGCCTTAAGCCTATCCTTGAAAACACTCCACGTGTCTCATTAAAGCTACTCCACTATCTTCAAAATTATTTGTTGACCACCATTTAATTTTGAATAAAGACATTTCCTTTTATGCAAAGAAAATGCTTTTGGATGTCCTTTGTCAAACAAAAAATATGATACTATTGTCACCTGTATTATAAAGAAAACAAATTAATTTATTATTATATTTTATTAAATTCACAGTTTAATTTAATGGTAAATAAGTTTAAATTCTTAATTCTTACCAAACATTTTGGGAATAAGCCATATTGAACATCAATATTTGGCATTTCTTTTTCATTATCAATCAAAATTGTTGCTATCTTTTTTAGGTATATAAATATTGACAGTTTATAGTTGACTTTGTGGTGGATGTATTCACCTATGAAAAGTTTGTGCTTACGGTTTATATTTAAAATGTTTTAGGTACTTTTGGTTCGAAAGGAAAGAGACTTGGTCGTACAACATCCACCGATATTCCGCATCTATGATTTGTTTTGTACTTGGATCATTATTTGATACTATTTTATACTTTGATGATTTTAGAATGAATGAAATTATGATTGTTTTGGTTGTTTAAAACCAAAATTTTTACTTAGTAATTTTGGAACGTTATATATATATATATATATATATATATATATATATATATATATATATATATATATATATATATATATATATAAGGTGTATTTTAAATCTTTTAAAACAGAAGGTTAAAAATTAATTATTTGGATTAAATCATTTTAGTAATTAAATAATTATCTTTAACTATACGTTTAATTAAATAATTCAAAATTTATCCTAATCCTTCTAATTTTCGAAAATTAGGATTAGGGTTACCAAGTTTAAATTATCAAATTTTAAGGCATTTAAAATAATAATTAAGGAAAGTAGAAACCCTAAGGCAACACTAGGGATTTTCGAAAATAGGCAAGGAGACTAGGGTTTCAAGAAACCTTAGCAACTATCAAAATTTTCAAGAGGCAAGGGTTTATTTTTGATAAACCCTACCAAGATCAATTCACCTCATGCACAATCAATACAAAACAATAGCTCTAATCTAAGTTGCACGGAAACAGATACGGCAACGGGAAACCGATACGGAACGGAAACGAGAAACGACATAATTCAAAAATTCAAGATACGGATACGGCAGAGATACGACAATATAAAAATATAGAAAAACATATATTTATTCAAGAAATTCCAATATATATATATATATATATATATATATATATATATAATATTGATGTAAAGTGTAAACTCCAAAAATACAAAATCTTTCAAAGGAAATTAATTATCAATAATCAAATCACTTTCAAAATCCGGTTCATCTAGTGAGAGATCGGAAACCTTCAAATACCCTACATCTTCCATTGAATCAAAAGCATCTCTACCCACATCCCATATCTTTACATCATCATTCGGATCCCTTGACAAAATTCGGAGATTATTGTGGATGTAAACCTAGTCTTGAGCACGACTTGTAGTCAACATGTTCCTCTTAAGCGAGTGAATAAGTGCATAAGTACTCTAATTACGCTCGGCACAAAAAGAAGAACTAGGTTGTCCAAGTAATCTAAAAGCCAAAGTCTGGAGAAATGGAGTTTGAGCGCCAAAGTTAACCCACCATTTCTTGGGTTCCATAGTAGCCATCTATGAAATGCTTGTCAAATCCTCAAAAGGACCACTCTTCATTGAAAACATCGCATACTCATCATGGACTTTGCTATACTCATCATCATTAAGAAACAACCTTCGAAAACATTTCATCTTTTCTTGTGAAATTTCTCCATCCCTATGTGGAGCACATCTTCTAGAATCCTCAAGTAACCATGCATCACTATAATATCTAAAACATTAAAAAGTTAAGACATAGATATATATTAGAAATCAAGTGTATAATTTAAAATCATATACCAAGGATTTAAAGAGTGAGCTAAACAATGTAGGGGAGTGTTATTCTTCGCCCATCGAGCCACTAAAATATGAAGCACAACATCATAAAAGAAACTTATTTGAGATGTTAGACGTTTTTCTTTTTGTAGATTTCAATCTTCACTTTCTCAATCATAGAATCCCACATCTTATACACCAAGTGTAAACATCGTTTGTCAGTGTCACAAACTCTAATCATTTCATATATAGGTCCAGTGAAACTAAGAATATATGTTATTTTGTCCCACCAATCATCATTCAAAATATATTCTTTCACAGAGTTTGCTTTATCAGTGTCATCTAATCTATAAGAAGACCATTCTTCGCTTATGACCATAGCTTGAAGACCAATTTTGATAAGTTTCAATCTCTTGAGCATCATAATGATGGAAGCAAAGCGAGTGTCGGCAACCAAAAGCGAGGAGTAAACTTGGTGAAAATCGAGTCTCATGTTATGTTTCATGATGAAATTCTTTATTGCAAGCGCATCTTCGTGAACTTTTTTTTATCCAGCTGCACTGTTCATATGTTAGTTTATTTGTTTCCACATTCTTTGGTGAACAAATGCTCTTCAAAGTAAGATTAAGCGTATGAACAACACATGGTGTCCAACAGATGTGAGAAAACTGACTCCGTATAATTTCTCTAGCTGCCTTACAATTTGTTGCATTGTCAGTAATAATTTGCACATCATTTTGATGACCAATTTCATTGATGACTTCTTTCATCAATTCAGCAATATAAAATTTATCTTTTACTTCCCCAAAACAATTCACTGCCTTTAGAAACAAAGGACCATTACCTGAGGTAGCCATGAAATTGATTAGAGGTTTTCTTTTAGGATCACTACATCCATCATTCGCAATAGTCACACCTTTTTCTTTCCATGTAGACCTAAGTGGATCCAATAGCATGTGAACATTATATTTTTCTTTTTGTAGTAATGTTGTTCTTAGCTTATTATAATCAAGAGGTACATAACCATCAATTTTGTTGTTAACAGCAAATTGAAAAGCCCTGAGATAGTGTGGATTCCTTGCAATATTAAAAGGTAAACCTTCGGTATAAAACATCCTTGCTATTTCTTGATCCAGTTGGTGTTGGTGATTTTATATCACTAATATTATTTAAGTGTAATAGGGTTAATTTGTTGATCAATGTCACTATGACAATTATCTAACAAATTAGTATGGTGCGGAGTGCACATTTGTTTGATCTTGTCATTGTTGAAAGTATACTGCTATTTAGGGGCGAAGCCCTTGAACTGACGGGGGTCCAGGGGCATCACCCCCAGGAGCAGGGTCCAAGGGGAGGCAGCCCCTGGCGGGGACATGATTCAGCAATCTTTCAGCAAGAACACAACTCAAGCTAAAGATGCTTCTGGTGGTACAAGTTCTGTGCCTGAACTTAGAAAGAGTACTAGAGCTAGAAAAGCTAAATCATTTCGATCTGATTTTCAACTATACTTAGTTGAAGGAACAAGGAATGAGACTATGTCTCAACATCAATATTGTTTTAATATTAAAGAGGATCCAAAGAATTTCAGTGAAGCTATGGCTTCTAGGGATGTTCATTTATGGAAAGAGACAATTTAAGATGAGATTGATTCTATCATGCATAACAACACTTGGGTATTGTCGCACCCCCAAACCAGAATGGCGGAAACATTCGGGGGCGGAGGACTTTAGGTAAGTATCACAACACATGCAATATAGTAATCAAAGTACAAACAACCATTGTATTAATAAGTATAAGTTTTACATAAGTGTTTAAACATTACATATTCTAACACTAAAGTAGGTACAGCAGAAGACAAGAGTCGCGGTACGATACTAGGTAGTCTTCTCAAAAGCTTCGGGAGTGTACCTGTCTACTGGATTCCTGAGAATACAAGTTATTTGAAAAGAGTAGATCAGCATTTAAGCTGGTGAGTTCATAAGTATTTTAGTCTTTGTTAAGTATACCCTAAGTTCTTTGAATAAGTTCACTGGTTTCTCCAGGAAATCCTATATCTCCTGAGGTGATTAACTGATAACCTCAATAGTTTCCCTCTGTAATTACCTAGTTTATACTGATTATACATAACATAATATCGAATTGACAGTCAATTGGGTGTATCTGCCCTAAGCCCACAACCAAACAAGGAACATGAAGTAAGGCGGAAGTCACACACTTTACTGTCAATTGGACATTACTTATGTATAACTATGATGTAGCAACTAAGGAATTATAGAATTAACCACTAAAGGTCTTTTATGTTATACTAGTTTACCGAGATTGAGTGACTAAGTTCCATTGGATAAGTGGTTTAATCCCATAAACCGTTCTCTTTGTATTACTGTTTTGTATTTGTATTCCTTTATGAAAACTTGAAACTGAGAGTGTGCCTGGCTCCACCAGGTGTTAATGGAAACTGTATTAAACCATTGTATTTTGTATTCTATAAACTGATACTTTGAAGGTGTACTTTCGTTTATTTGTTTATACACTAATGTATTGTTAATACCTTTTTAATGAGTAGTTTTTATTATAACCATACTATGACGGATGGCCTGAAACAAATGCTTTGTGGGCGTTTAAACTGGTGATAGCAATTGTCACTCATCTAACTGTAGCTAGCAGCCTAAGTGCGAGGTTGTCAATTCCTGATATAGATCTACACACACTTGTTTCGATCCCCGGCTGGAGATTCTGGTTATAATGTCATGACTTTCCTATGTTGTCTAAAATGAATTAAACAACCTGAATATAGAGTCTCATAAAAAGCATATTAAACGTTACATGTATATTAGTTTTGAAAACCCAATCATTCTGAAATAATGATTGATAGTATATTCTTGAATTAGTTTTCCAAACATGTATTTGATAAGTGTAAACCCTTGATTTGTTCTGAGTCAAAACCCTGGTTTCTTGTAAAACAGTGTATTCTAGTATACTTGAATCATGAATTATTGTTCTATGTATAAATTATACCTATTATAATTTATATGTACTTTCTGAATGTGTATTTAACCATGTTCACATGTAATCCCTTGCTCAGCATGTTACAAAGGTAGTTAAACTGATGAAATAACTATTATATTTATATACATATATAATTTTATATATAAGTAAAATTTAAACGACATTCAGACAAATAACCGGTACTTTAAGTCCACATCCAAACAAGGAAAATGACCTAGAATAAGTTATCAGTCCTAAGCCTTTTAAATCTTAGTTATATACATATATATATACAAATATGAATTTTAGGGAAAAATATAAGATGGTAAAAAGTTTATGTTTTGAGTATTTTTAATGATTTAATGTTGTTTTATCATGATTTGAAATCATGATTTTTATAACACAAAGTTCTTGTGTTATGCTTGTATTCCCCCCCCCCCCTTAAAACAGTAGAAATTATGAAAATACGGGGGTATGTACTCACTTGATAGGTGGTGAACCGGACAGAGTTTCGTTTCACGAAAAGGAGTTTATTTGTCGAGAAACCGGCTCAAATTGGGCAGAGTTTCGACAGGAGAGAGGTTACTTCTCGGGAATCTCGAGGCTTCGAGGCTTGCTTAGGGTTCGAGACTTGATACCGGGGCTTTAGGGGTTGTATATGAGCTTAGGGGAGTGGAAAATGTGAAAGAGAATGAAAATTAGGGTGAAAAAGTGTAAAAATTCGGAAGCCCTCGCATGCATATATATAGTCCGAAGGTTCGGACCCAGAGCTATGCGAAGCTGACATGCGTCGGACAGGTGGCTTACTTCGGACCGAAGGCTCGCAAGGTGCTAGGCTCAGATTGGACCAAACCTCGGTCCAATGGGAAGGGGCCACGTGCGAAGGAGGGTGTCCGAAGGGTGTCTCTGGGGCATCTCATGTGAAGTTGTTCGCTTCTAAGTGGACCTCGGCTGCGGTCCAATCAGGAGGTGCCACGCATGGGTTCGGTCCACTCAGCAGCTGCCACGTGCGAGGGTGACGTGGCATGCGAAATTGCCCGGTTTTTCCCATTTTTTCTTTATTTTTGTTACATATAAAGAATGCCAAAAACGGAGCTCGTATGCGAAAATCACAACTTTCGCATACGAGCTCCGTTTTTGGCATTCTTTATATGTACGCGTAGGTAAAATCATACTCTACGACTTTCGTTTAGACTTCGTCGGCTAATTTTGAACTTATTTTTAATATTATTATTTTAAACAGACCGGGACGGGAATCCGTTATAAATTCATAACTTCTTCATACGACGTCCGTTTTTGTCTGTCTTTTTACCGTTGTACTACTACCGACGAGATCTTCAATTCTCGTTTAGGTTGTGTCGGCTAAAAATCGCTCGATCTTTATTTCGAGTTTTTAGCTGTACACTGCTATACCGAAACTTAGAAAAATCATAACTTCCTCATACGAAGTCATATTTTTCCGTTCTTTTTATGAAAGTTCTCGGTTTAATATAAACTACAACTTTCATTCAGATTGTTAAGGCTAAAAAGCCTTTTATCGAAAATTCAGTTTTTACACTGAATAGTGTTTTGCCGGTTTTGTCGCGGATTTTCGATTGGTCATAACTTCTTCGTTATAACTCGGATTTTAGTGTTCTTTATGTTTTTGGAAACCTTGTTACAAACTCTACCACTTGGTTTATCCCAATTATGATTATTGATCAATTTATTTTTGACCAAAATTTGACTGGTGTCACAGGGTATTGTCTGATTTACCTCCTGGTTGCAAGGCATTAGGATGTAAATGGATCCTCAAAAGGAAAATGAAGGTGGATGGCACAATTGATAAATATAAAGCCAGATTGGTTATCTAAGGCTTTAGACAAAAGGAAGGCATTGATTTCTTTGATACTTATGCTCCTGTTGCCAGAATTTCCACTATTAGATTATTATTAGCTCTTGCAGCTATACATAATCTTGTGATTCACCAAATGGATGTGAAAACTGCATTCTTGAATGGTGACTTGGATGAGGAAATATACATGAAACAACCTGAAGGGTTTATAATGCCTGGAAATGAACACAAAGTGTGTAAGTTGAAGAAATCATTATATGATTTGAAACAAGCGCCAAAACAATGGCATCAAAAGTTTGATGATGTTGTCGTGTCTAATAGTTTTGCATTAAACCAAGCTGACAAGTGTGTATATAGCAAATTTGATACTTCTGGTAAAGGAGTTATGATCTGTCTATATGTGGATGATATGTTGATTTTTGGTACCGACTTAGAACATGTTGATAAAACCAAGAAATTCTTATCATCTAGTTTTGAAATGAAAGACCTGGGGGAGGATGAGGTAATTATTGGCATAAGAATTAAACAAGGAAACAAGGGGATTTCAATTTCTCAATCTCATTACATTGAGAAGATATTGAAAAAGTTTAACTTTGATAACTGTTCTCCTGTTAGCACTCCTATAGATCCTAGTCTTAAGCTTCTACCTAATAAACGATCCCCAGTGTCTCAACTTGAATACTCAAGGGCTATTGTTTGTCTAATGTATGTCAGGATTAGTACTAGGCCTGATATAGCATATGCTGTGGGAAGGCTTAGCAGATATACTAGTAATCCTAGTTCACATCATTGGCAAGCTGTGAGTAGAGTATTCAAGTATTTGAAAGGGACCATGGATTATGGTTTAACTTATAGTGGATATCCTTATGCTTTGGAAGGTTATTCAGATGCCAGTTAGATTAACAACTTAGAGGATCACTGATCTACAAGTGGTTGGGTGTTTCTTCTTGGAGGTGGTGCCATTTCTTGGGCATCTAAGAAACAGACTTGTATTACTAACGCAACCATGGAGTCTGAGTTTGTTGCATTGTCTGCTGCTGGTAAAGAAGTTGAGTGGCTAAGGAATTTGATTTATGAAATTCCATTATGGCCCAAACTGATATCTATCGTTTCTATCAGGTGTGATAGTGTTGCAACCTTGGCTAAGGCTTATAGTCAAGTGTATAATGGGAAGTCTAGACATTTAGGTGTTATACATAGCATGATTCGTGAGCTCATCATGACTGGTGTGATATATGTGGAGTTTGTGAGAACTCAGTTGAACTTAGCCGATCATTTTACCAAAGGGTTAGCTAG